CACAGAGATTCACTTGCCTCAGCTTCTAAGAGCTGGGATTAAAGACATTCGCCGCCATGCCTGGCCCATAACTAAAGTTTTTCATGAGCCTTTTGTATCTTCTGTGGCTGGGATCTGCTTTGCCCCGTTTTAGCCAGTGTCGCAGCGCTGTGATGAAGTGCCTCAGAAAGGCGCTTACAAGGAGGGATACTTAATTTATCTTGTGCTCTTGGAGGCATTAGTCTGTGGTTGGTCAGCACCATTGCTTTGGGACCAGCGGTTAGGCTTGGCATCCCAGAGAAGCAAACCCACTCACCTCATGGTGGCCAAGAGGTTAAGAGAGGGGACCAGGGTCCTGATGTTCTCTTCAGGCTCGTCCTTTGGTGACCTGATTTTCTTTCACCAGGTTCCATCCTCTGAAGGGTTCACAATCTCATAGTAGTGCCACAGGATGGGGACCTTGACACATGGCCTGGGGGAGCAGTGAAGAGTTGGACATAACGTCTCCCAAAGCTTCACAGTGTAGAAAAGTAAAGGAATTTAGAGATGGTAGCTCCTTCCCTGTAGCCCGGGCAGGCCTTGAACTTGTGCCGTCCTGCCTCAGCAAGTGGCTCGGAGTTTAGCCTTGTGCCACGAGGCCTAGCTCAAAGGCAGTAAAACTCAAGGGGTGAACTTAGTGGAAGTTGATTGGGGCATGGTGACACTGTCCTTGGGAGGTGTTGGTACGGTTCTGAGGAGAAGCTGTTTTCCCCTAGAGCAGGCTGTTGAAGAGGTGCAAGTCTAACCCTCCCCCAGTTTCTTACTTTCTCCTTCACCATATAAAATCTCTCCCATCTTGTCCCATGGTGGTGGTGGCAGTGCACGCCCTTAATTCGAGCACTTGGGAGGCAGCGGCAGGTGGATCTCTGTGAGTTAAAGGCTAGCCTGGTCTACAGAGTGAGTTCCAACACAGCCAGGAGTGTTACACAGAGAAACCTTGTCTTGGTAAGAAACCCTTTCCATCTCTCACATCCACCCTCACATGTGCTGCAGCCACACGACGCTGTCTGCCATGCTGTCCCACAGCCAAAAGGCGGACAGTAGAACTCCCAGATAGTGCTATCTAGAACTTTGGATTTCCAACCTTCAAACAGTGAGCAACATTTCCTTCTGAGCAACCCCCCCTTCCTTCTGAAATGTCAGCCTTGGATATTTTGAATAGCAATATAAAATGGACGAAGATAGTGTCTCAGTTTCTTTTCCGTTTATTTTTCATCTTATTTTATGCATTTACTTTTGAGACAAGGTCTCATGTGTAGCCTAGAGCTTGCTGGATAAAGCAGGCTAGCCTTGAACTCGAAGATCTACCTTGTTCTATCTCCACGGCTGGTTTCTTTTCCTCTTGGTGTTCTAAAACACTCTGACAAAGGCAACTTAAAGGAGAAAGGGTTTACGTCAACCCACGGTGCAAGGACAGTCCACCATGGTGGGGAAGGCAGTAGACGCTTGAAGTAGCTGCTCAGCGAGAACGTGAATGCTGTCCTGCTGCTCTCCCCATGGACACAGTCCAGGAGTGGACTCACCCACAATTAAAATGAGTCTCTTCACATCAGATCATGTAATCAGGACAATCCCCCCAACCCCGGCCATGCTAGAGGCCCTTCACCCAGGTGATTGCTGATACTCTCAGGTTGACTGCACAAGCCGGCAAGATGATGTCCATCACCAAACTGCATTCTCATTACAGTGGCTGCATAAACAAGCAGAGGCCCGGAGAGCCCTGAGCACTGATCTTCCTGAATTCTCGGACTTGAAAGAAGAAGAGAAGAATCCAGACTGGTTGAAAGAGAAGGGGAAGTGAGTTGTCAGAGTTCTGCATTCTACACTAGGCTCTCACCACATTCTATGCGTAGATTAACCTTATTTGTGTGTGTGTGTGTGTGTGTGTGTGTGTGTGTGTGTGTGTGTGTAAACTGTTAGGGAGTGATAGGTCATTCCTGGTCTACTTGACATAAGCTTGAGTCGTTTGGGAAGAGAGGACCTCAGCTGAAAAAATGCCCCCACCAGATTTGTCTATGGACAAGTTTATGGTGCATTTTCTTGCTTAGTGATTGATGCGGGAATGCTCAGCTCTAGGTAGGCACTACCACCCCTGGGTGAGTGGTTCTGGGTATGATAAGAAAGTCTGAGCAAGCCATGAGAAGCAAGCCAGTAAGTATGGATCCTCCATGGCCTCTGCATAGGTTATGAGCCACCCCTCCTAGTTTGAGAACTGCCTTTTAATCCATGTACTTATATGCTTTCAGAACAGGGCCAGGATTGTTAAATTGATATTGCATTTAAATAAATTTGTTTTCTGGAGACAGGCAGTTTCCTCATGCTGCTTCTCCCAATGGAAGGATGATGGAATTGGCATTACAAGATGGCATCTCAGATGCAGGTGTAATTGCCTTCTGTGGATCGTGTTTTACAGTTTATCCTGTTCTATTGCAGTACTGGGCGGTTAGCGTGTGTTAACAAAAGGCAGAGGAGAGGAAATCCAGTCTCCCTTTTTAGGACTTGGAAAAAAGGAAAATCAATTGAGAGTGGTAGTCTTGGGCAGCAACTAGAGCTGCCACCTGCTTTTTTGTTTGTTTCTTTTCTTTTCTTTTCTTTCCTCCTCCTCCTCCTCTTCTTCCTCCTCCTCCTTTTTTTTTTTTTTTTTTTTTTTTTGACAAGGTCTCACTATGTAGCCCTGGCTAGCTAGCCTGGAACTCCTCATGTAGGCTAGGATGGTCTTGAACTCCCAGTGATTCTCCTGTCTCAGCATCCTGAGTGCTGGAATTACTGGTATGCACTGTCATACCTGTGGGGAATTTGTTTTCCTGTTATTCCTGAGCTGGCAGTCAGCACCCCAGGCACTCCAGCCTTCACACTTGTCATGCGCTGAAACCATTGCCCCCCTGCCCCCCGGTTCCCGGGCTTTGGGGCTTGAGCTAGAACTAACTTTATGTGGTATCTTGTGGGCAGATGGAGCTCAGCACGCCTTGGCCTCCGTAGTTGCTTGACCCAGTTGCTCACAGTACACATCTTTCTACCCTACCCATCTGTACCACCGTGTCCAGCTTGGTCTGAGAACGATGGCACTAGGAGACTTTTGTTTCTGAAAGCCCGAGGTGTGCTTATGCAAACTAAGATTCTTTAGTGTGCTATGCTATCATTAGGTGATAGACTCTTTGAGGATCCATATGCATTCCGTTATTGGCTAAAATGTCATGTGTCTCACTGTATGCCTCACGGGTTCCTTGTTCTCCAAAGGATTTTATAAGAGAAAGATAGTCCTAATGTTGCCCTTGTTGACATGTGACTTGTTATATGGGGTAAACTGGCCTTGAACTTGTGGTGATACACCTGGCTTCTGCCTCCCAACTTCTGGGATTACAGGTTTTTAGCACCATGTCCATGGTATTTTTCATCATATGCAGAATGCTAATTTCTCCCCTCTTCATTCTGAATGCTAAATTGAAGGAACCTGTGCCCCTTTACTAAGATGTATGGATGCTGGCTGGCTGGCTTGCGCATTCTGTCTGTCCAGTATATTTTTGTGGTATTGGGGATAGAATCAAGGGCCTCACTCGTCTAGACAAATGCTAAAATACTGAGCTATAGCTTATCCCCAGCCATTTTTCCACTTTTTTTTTGTTTTGTTTTGTTTTGTTTTTCAAGACAGGGTTTCCCTGTAGTTTTAGAGACTGTCCTGGAACTAGCGCTTGTAGACCATGCTGGCCTCGAACTCACAGAGATCCACCTGCTTCTGCCTCCTGAGTGCTGGGATTAAAGGCGTGCACCACCACCACCCGGCTCATTTTTCCACTTCCATTTATTATTTCATTTATTTTGGGTTTGTTCTGACATGGGGCTCATATGCAGTCTGGGGAACTTGCTGTGTAGCCCGATAGAGCGTTAAAATCCAGATCCTCCTTTCTCCCTCTCAAGTGATGGGGTTGCAGATTTTACTTTTTATTTTGAGACAGTTCCCAAGTTGGCCTTCAACTTGTTGCGTAGGCCAAGTAAAGCTTGATCTTGCAGTCCTCGTACCTCAGTCAGTCAAGATCTGGGATTACAGGTCTGCACCGCCAGGCTTGTTGATCCTGGCTCTTTGATGAAGATATGTTGACACTTGTGTCAGGCTCGGCAGCTTCGTTGTGTCACGAAGTGCTGTTCCTCTGTTTCTTGTTCCTTTCTTAGTCTCACCACACTAACTTTGATATAACTCGTTTCTCCTGTGGTTAAAAATAAAGAGCAGCGTTTGCTCTGGGTGCTTTCTTTATTCATATCCAGCAGGGGGAGAAGTTTTATCAACTATCACTTTCCAACTTGAGACCCAAACTACCAGCTTCAGTCAGGCCAGTTTAAGCCCCTTTCCCATCCCTAAATAAATCACTGAATCAAGGAAGATAGACATGCACTCGCTGCATTAAACCATTAAACCACTGATGGCTGCTTTTGGCGGGGCGGGCCCCCCCCCCCCATCCTAGGCAAGGTGCGTACTTGGTGTATGTAAAGAGATGGAGTTTGCTCAGCAGGCTGGGAATAAATAAGGGGGGTGGGAAGCCATCTCTCTGGCTGCCAAGTAGGCATGTTTGCTTTGATGTTAAATTGGCCTTTTCTTTTTGTCTCATTAGCAAATTGTTCGCAACAGAAAACTATTTGGCAGCGGTTGATGCATATAATTTAGCTATACGATTAAACAGTAAGATTCCATTATTGTATTTGAATCGGGCTGCTTGCCATCTCAAACTAAGAAACTTACACAAGGCCATTGAGGACTCGTCTAAGGTATGTATATTCTTCTGATGGGTGTGGTGTGTGTATGTGTATATATTTCTTACTTAACTTAAAAATATGATGCTTTAAAATTATCCTGGAGAGTGAGGGGTGCTGGCTCCTCAAGAGGTTGAAGGAAGATGATCACTGAGTTTGAGGCCAGTGTTCCAGGTTAGGTAAGGTTACAAAATGAGACTCTGTGTTAAAAGATCAAAATAAACAAATTAAACAAATCGGTGCTCGATTCAGCAGCACATATGCTAAAATTGGATCGATATAGAGAAGATTATCATGGCCTCTGTACAAGGATGACATGCAAATTTATGAAGTATTTTATAATTTTTCTTTTTGAGTTTCCATTTGAGTGCTTTTGGACTACTAAATCAGTAAACTATGGATGCCTGCAAAAACAAAATTGTTGCCTTAAATGGAGCCTAGCATACTCAAGGTCAGACCTTAATATTCAGGCGTGAGGGTAAGGAAGGCACTGCAGACATCTGCTAGGCCTTCCCTTCTTTATTGACTTAAATGATGCTCGAGGACAGCCATCCTCAACCCGTGAGTTGTGACCCTCACAGGGGTCGCATATCAGAAATCCTTTCTATCAGATATTTACAATATGATTCATAACAGAAGCAAAATTACAGTTAAGAAGTAGCAACAAATTAATTTTATGGTTGAGGTTACTACAACATGAGGAACTGTACTAAAGGGTTGCAGCATTAGGAAGGCTGAGAACCACTGGTCTAGGACTTAGCACTTGGTTTAGTAGGAGAGCATCTGCTTAGCTAGTGTGAGGTGCTGGGTTCTGTACTCAGCCCCTCTCCCAGAAGTTAAATGCTAAGTCCCTTAGTCTGCTCTACTGTTGGGTTCTGCACCTAGTACTCCTTTCCTTTGTGTTTGTTCTCCACGGAGGATGATCTGCAATAGCCATGCTTTCTGCTTCCCAAGAGTGAGATTAAGTTCATAGTGAGCAAAATCGAAAAAACAACCAGTAAGTAGCAAACAGGAAGCAGGACAGCAGAAAGTGAATGAACCATCACCATGTCAGTGCTGACAATATATCCAGCAGCAACGACTGGGGAAGTCCTCCTGGGGTAGTCACAGTGGGGGGTCCTGTGGAGAGGTTTCCAGGCAGTGTAGAGTTTGCTTCATGAATGGGATTCCAGATCCTCCTTCCCACTGCAGGCATTTTTATACTGTATGATAGGCAATAATAACCTCTCCTTCCCAC